TTATCTATAATTGAATATTTATAGCTCAACTCTATCTTTAGAGTCTCTCTAGCTCTATTTCATGTCTTCGTATTTTTAACTTGACTCGTGCAATCAACCAAAAATTTTAAGTGAAAAGATTCGTTCCAAATGTCTTTAAAGTAGATACAATGAACAACATTCATTCATGAAAATTCTATATAAATTGCTTTAAAGCATATATAAAAAAAAGAGAACTATGTCGTGACAAACAAAGTACTTCAATGTTATAATTCACAAATATTTGAAAAGAAATGAAGAGTAACATGGTAATAAGAGTTGAGATTTGATTGATCGATCATTTATGCCTATAGCTAACAATAACTATTAACATTCTTGGAAAAAATATCATATTTTTATCCATCTTCACGACAATATAAATGTAAAAATGAAAAAATAAAAAACAGAACTTTTATGTGAACTAATCATACATACTTGGGACTAATTTTATGTAACATTCTCATTAAAATTTTAATCCATGAAACCAATAGTGCAACTTATCTAATTTCGATGTTTGCCCCGTAGAAATGACTAAATAGCAATACAAAATTAGAAAAAAAAGAACCATTCCGTTGCCGGGACTTGAACCCGGGTCTCTCGGGTGAGAGCCGAGTATCCTAACCAACTAGACTACAACGGAACTATGAATTAGTTTAAGTTACTTTAAATTTTATTTAAATTGTACAGTTCGACACTACCTCAAATTATTCTGCTATTGACTCCATTACAGTTGAAGTTAAAACTAGTCATTATGATTTTTGTCTATATTTGCAGGAACTTGGTTTTTGATGAGTGATGTCGTCTCCATTTTGATCATGCATGCTGTCGGAATTGTTTGAATTTGTTCATTATTGTGATTATGGTGGGCCCAATCTATTATCCTTTCTATTTTGTTTGAGACAGCATAAATCTTTCATAAGTGGGAACTTTTGGTCATTGCCTTTCATCTTATTCAAATGTAAAGTTGTAGGGTTTTATTATTTTTCTGCTCATAAAGTCACCAAATCTTAATCCTCACTAACTCACAGGATCAATGTGGCTTTATCACACACTTGGATGTGTCGGAGAGAATATCCACTTATAGAGGAATATGTCATACATCATATGTTTATTTACTATCAATTTAATTATAAAATGTATTTATAGTGTGAAAATATATTATATATTTTCATCGTCAATTTCTGTTCAACTTAAAATAGTTGAGTTTTGTAGTAACAACTTTAAATAATTTGTAATTATAATTGATGCGATACATTTTTTTTATATGGTATATGTCATAATTGAATTTATTTATTTGCGAGCAAATAATTTATTTAGTTTCTGTTTTCTTTCTACAGTGTCATTTTGAGGATGTGAATAGGGACACTTATATCAGTGGGAGATACAATTTTTAACAAGAAAATTATCAAAGTATATGAATTCTCGAGTGTTATATGTTTGAATAGCCTTAATGGTATGACCGAGATGGTTTTCAATTAAGGTTTTAAAACTGATGAAGATATCAAGAGCTCGAGATTGAACATGCAACATGTAAACCCATGTATATCTAGAAAATTGTAATATCTCAAAATATAACATAATACTATATCATAGATAAATTTCATATAATAATATGATAGATCAGTTCTTCAAGAGTTAGTAAAGTATTTAACATTACACTTATCCAAAATAACTATAAAACTAAAAACTTTATAAAGTATCATAAGTCTGATACAAAACATAGGAAATAAACCGAACGGTTCTATTTCTAGATTTAAACAAATCATCCTATACTGATCGGTTATACAGAAAACAGCTTCTAAGGCAACCTACTACTTTTTTGATCGGTGAAAAGGAACCAGCCAGAGAATCAAAGATAGAAAACAAACTCAGAGAAGTAGATGATGAACACATGTAAGCTGAACAGTGCTTGCATGTATCAGAAAATACAGAAACTTCAATGAACAAGTGAATTTAACTTACCAACTCCAAACAACAACTTGATTGGTGAAAAGAGAAGCTCTTGCTACTAGGAAACTCAGGCACGGTCTAAATTGATGATCAGAAGAAAAAGAAAGATGAAAATTTGTAGAGAAAATGAGAAGAATTTTAGAGAGAAGAAGGAGAAAATAAAAACTCAGAAATTTGGAGAGAAGAGGTGCATGTAAAAAGTGGTCCGAAATTTTGAAAAGTTTACTTATATACTACCGTCAAAAATCGATCGGTCCAATTAGCTGCATACACCTAGATTTCACTTTTCTCTGAATTTAATGGTCCTGACAAAAATACATCAACAAACAAAACGTAATAATGATCTCCATTAACAGAACAAATATGATAATATGAAAATCAAACTTTACATCACTTCTCTAACTACAAATTGTTTATCTTTTACAATGTCTTTCCGGATCTTCTTTCTTAAAGTTCAAAATCGAGTTAGTGAATATATGTTAAAGACAATTTTCAATTATATCGATAAGTTATTACAGTTAATTTTTAAATGTCTAATAAATGCAACTTCTTACCTTCTTATTTTATCTTTTTGTATTTATAAATTTCAAAACAAGTTTTTATTAAGATTGACTTGATCATTCCCAATATCTCATAAGTANATTTTAGAGAGAAGAAGGAGAAAATAAAAACTCAGAAATTTGGAGAGAAGAGGTGCATGTAAAAAGTGGTCCGAAATTTTGAAAAGTTTACTTATATACTACCGTCAAAAATCGATCGGTCCAATTAGCTGCATACACCTAGATTTCACTTTTCTCTGAATTTAATGGTCCTGACAAAAATACATCAACAAACAAAACGTAATAATGATCTCCATTAACAGAACAAATATGATAATATGAAAATCAAACTTTACATCACTTCTCTAACTACAAATTGTTTATCTTTTACAATGTCTTTCCGGATCTTCTTTCTTAAAGTTCAAAATCGAGTTAGTGAATATATGTTAAAGACAATTTTCAATTATATCGATAAGTTATTACAGTTAATTTTTAAATGTCTAATAAATGCAACTTCTTACCTTCTTATTTTATCTTTTTGTATTTATAAATTTCAAAACAAGTTTTTATTAAGATTGACTTGATCATTCCCAATATCTCATAAGTATATTTTTATCTTCTTAATCAAGTTGTAACATCTTTAATGTGTAAAATACTAAACTACTACCAACTCAATTAATAACCGTTCTATTGACATTGTTTTGGAGTCATCAAGATTGAAATTTTAAGTGATTGACCGATCGGATTGCGTTGACCCATCGGTCTATAGTCTACACACAGGAATTACAAAGGGAAGAACTAGATTGAGGTTTATATGAAATATTGCATGAATGTAAGACACGTTTAACTACTGGTAAAGACGCATCGCCAAGTCTAGCATGCCATAAATCCAAAACAGGACATGTAGAAGAAATAGTATTGACCGAAGGAGAAACAATCTTGGAAGCATGGTGAAGATATGTATGAAAGATGATCACTGATGTCAGTTTGGTTAGAAGTAACCTGAGAGTTGTTGACATAAATTGAAGGTTGATATTCATGATCAAACCTATGCCAGTTGAAGGCGGCGAAACTAGGCTTTGAACAGATTTGATAGCGTAACCTGGAGTTATTTTGAGAGGAGGAAGATTGTTGGGATGAGTTTCTTGAATTAAGAAAACGATTTCCTCTTTCAGAAGCAGCTTGTCTCGTGAATGTCTTCGACGATCAGAGTTGTTGCTGCGATTGTATTGATTCCAAGAAGACGTAGAAGAATTGAGTTGAATGGTAGATTCAACGTGAATATGCTTTTCCGAACGTTTTGTGAGACAGAGCAGCGCCTCAATTTCTTCAACACTGTAGGGATCAATGCGAGAGAGAATAGACGTGACAAACACATCATATTCAGTTGGTAAGCCCTCAATAATTGCCTCTATATGATCTGCATCAGAGATCGGATAACCTATGGCAGCAAGAGAGTCAAAGATTTTTTTAATCTCAGGAATGTAAGTGGAAATAGGCTTATCTTTCTTGAGATTCTTGTGTTGTAATTTTAACTTCTTTACACGGTTGGAAAGCTTCTGTCATATAGCACATGAAGTGTTTAGGCCAACCATCTTTATCAAAATAGTGGAGCTGAGATTGAAGATAGTATCCCAGCAACAGGAAGATTGTCTTGTTGTTGATGATGGATGTAAGCAGGGTTAACTTGAGTTTGTGATTGAGCTTCTTGCGTGAGAAAAAGTGGTGGCGGAGGAGAACCATCAAGAAATCAGGAGAAATGCAGCCCTCGAATTGTGGCCAAAACTTGGTGTTGCCACACCAAAAAACTTTCATCATTAAGCTTGATACTGATTTGTGTAGTAAAGGTATGAGAGTGAAGGTAAGGTGGAAGGAATGATGAAAAAAAGAGAATAAAAAGTAAGTAAGATAATAACTCATCCTATTATTGTTGTAAAAAGTAATGATCTACTATTTATATATAAGCTAGGTTAACATCAACTATAACTGATCCTATTACAGAACAGCATAACGAATATATATGTCTAACAATTTGCTATTTAGACATTTTCTTGAAGTGGATATTAACTTAATAATTTATTATTTTTTATATATAAAATTACTGTATACAATCTTTAGATTAAATATTTTATTAAAATTAAATATATCCTTTTAATGTTTAAATTTACTTTTTTTTTTATATTTTTTTTCATAAGATCATTACTAATACAATCACATCCCTATATTGTTAACAAGTTTGTTAATCATGAGAGAGGTGAAATAAGTATTATTAAGAAGAAAAAAAATTTACTAATATATTATTGATGATTCAATTTGTATGTTTTTGTTTGCTAAAATTACATCATAATTTGTTCAGATGTCCTCATATGAAAATGAGAACTCAACGAAGATAGCTAAACAAAATAAAGTGGAGAAAGTTTTGATAGATACTTGTGCAAGAATGGTCTCATGTTTGAGTCCAATTCTACGTTGCTTTTGCATTGAATATCCAAAAAAAGAGGTATGTTAGAAACAATAGTTGTATTAAATGGAAGATAAATAGATGACTAAGTTGTTATGACAGTATGTAAGGAGTGAAGATGGTGATGATTTGGGTTGAGTAGGTGTCTGCAAGTAGGGCAAGAAGAGTGAGAAAGGAGCCACTTGTCAATGCAAAGAACATGGAAAAAGTGTTTGCAGTTTGGGAGGAACCTTATAGGGTCTCCATCAGAGAACTCAGCCAAGCAAATGACACAGGTAGAAGGTGAAGATGGAGAGGGAGAGTTTGTGAAGGTTGAGGTTGGCAAACCCACCATTTCCTTCCTCTTCAGACCAGAATTCAGCCTGCGAGAAGCCATCCATTGGCGAGGTTGCGTCAGAACACGAGAAGCACATTGGAATACACATTGCAGCATCGTGTTGAGGCCAAGAGCACACACCAAGGCACATAGAATGGCTGCCACAAGGACCATCCAATCAAACCCACCAACTTGGTCATCACATGGTATGCTTCTCATGGGGCCAAAGGACGAAGGTGTAGGAGATTCAGAGTTAGTTTCTGCCATGGTGATGAATTGATGAGGAAATTTCACTGTAATAAAGAAAGTGAGAAACAAGGAGTGATCGACACATAATCATAAAATAACCTAATTGGTGTGTCTTTTTAGAAAGTGGATTTATATCTAATATAACTTGATAGAATCATATCTATTGGTTGGTTTTCAACTGATTATTATTCATTGAAGTTTCACATCAAGTATAATATGAAAAACAAAGTAACAAAAAAAGCACTATAAAAATAAAGGGTTCTTTTCTGAATTATTATTACTTGGTTAGTTGTCTGTTCAAAAATTTGCAATTTTTGTCAGAAAAATTGTATGGAAAGAGTTTGCAATTTTTTCAACAAAAAAAATTATACGAAAAATAAAATTTGTATTTTTTCTCAAAAAATTATATATTGAGTAATAATACTTCTGTTCTGTAAAGTATGGAAGGATGTAAACCTTAATTAAGACGGGGAATCACATCAAATTTTTTGTATTTTTATTTAAATTTATACTATTATTTGAATGGGTTTTCTTTAAAAAAATTATTTTTCTACTGTGTAATTCTTGACATATTTATATATTATAATTTTTATCTTTATATATAGAATTTATAACTTTTTTTTAAAAGTTAGTATTAATGAATTATGAACCATTTTTACAGGGAATTATAAAGAGAGGAAGAGGAACAATTTGGCATGCTCACATGTGTGATTTCTAACTTTGTGTGAGAATTTAAAATTGTCCAAAAATATTATATGAAGGTTTGTAATTTTTGTTAAAAAAATTTCAGATTAAGAAATAATACTTTTGTTCAATTGGTGGATGAAGACCTTAAGGTATTAAACTTAAGTTTTAAATTTATTATATGTTTTTATTTAAATTTATATTCTTATTTATTAGTTTGTGTTTTTAAGAAATTATTTTTCTATTACCTAATTTCTAACATATTTATATATTATAATTATTATTTTTATTCTTAATCGACATAAAATTTATAACTAGCTTTAAAAAAAAAGTTACTGTTAATGAATAAACCATTCTTGCAAAAAAATTATAAAATCATCTCTTACGAATTTAGATTCTCTCTACTTGAGTTTTCAATACTGTCGCTTCAGTCTTCAAAATACCCTAATATATTAGCAAAATTAATGTTCAGTGTGTTTTAAAACTAAACAGATTACCAACACACACAAAATTTACTAAATTCTATTTATTATTAACCTTGAAAATATTAAATTTATGAATTTTACTTTTTATGTATTACTTAACTTTATTATTTTTAATAAATATCAAACTTAAAATCACACTTTAACTTTTACCTAGTAGCTAAAAGAAAATGATGGCATAAGTTGATACGGTCTTGGCATATATGGACACATAATATGCTTACTTGATAATCCACTCCTCTCTTTCCTTTTCTATAAAGCAACTCATCTTCATTTTGATTCTTCTTCAATCTTGTCAAATGATTTTAGTTTTAAGATACTTGTGCCACTCTTTAACTTAAAAAAGTTTAAGTGATTTGAGTACCTAAACTTCCTCAGAATACCACATGTTTCAACATTTAATATATATATATATATATATATATATATATATATATATATATATTATAAATTCTAAAACTTTTACTGATTTAAGTGTAAAAGGGTCTTTTATAAAAAGATCTTTCTTGGTTTATCTTTTGAATTTAAAATTTTTCCACTAACAAAAAGTAACTCCTCGAATTTTGAGAACCTTATAATCGACCTACCTCAATTAAATTCAGCAAAAGCATATTAAAGTTATAATTTAGTTTTAAAGTTAAGTCTGATGGTATAAATTTGAATTATAAAATTATAGAATAATTAATTAAAAGGTTGAATCATTTTAGATGTCCCTATTTATGTATATTTGTGTCAATTAAATCTTCTTATTTTCAAAGAACTAAATTGGATTTTTTTATGTAAAATTGAGTCAATAACGATTTTACCGTTAATTGTTGTGGACGATATTAAATTTGTTGTCTGATGACATGGTGAACTAACCTCTTACTGTGTGTCATGTGGTTATTAAATACTAGATCACCATGTTATTAGACAACAAATTTAACATCATTCACAATAATTATCATTCCAACAATTAATGATAAGATCATAATTAATTTAATTTTATATAAAAAAAAACATAATTGAGTTTTTTTGAAAATACGGTGACCTAACACATAAAGAAATAAAGATCTCTAAAATTATTAAACCTAATTAAAAGAAAAAGTTTGATCAGTTTGGGTCTGAGAATTATTGAAGAAAGAAGTGTCGTGATGTGATAGAAGTGCGAATGGTTGAATCTACTAACGCTAACAATTATTTTTCTCTCTCTGTTCACATTCACAGGATGATCATTGCAAAGAAAAAATCAAACAGACCAACATGACAAGACAGAAAAGAAGGGTAAGTTAGAGTAATTTAATTGATTACACTAATCATGCAAATTAAACAAATACAAAAGCATGTGTCAACCGAGCATTTCAAGCATATAATGACCGACCATACATTACAGACAATGACTAAACACTTGACTTGACCGTCCAGATTGTATGAATATGTAGCTTGAGGTTGTTCGTACACCCGAGGGTGTAGTAACTGGAAAACTATCAGCTGTCACCCGGGGTTAATCCGTTATAACTCACCTAAGACCCTATAGGCTAGGACCTCCTGACATTCTCACACAATGCATTACCCATCTCTACTTGAAGTTTTGGTAATCATCAGAATTTCAGGATAAACGTCGTGGATTTCATTGTCCATATTCATACTTTACCACTTTGATAACCAGCACCGAGATATGCCTCCTTGGAATTCTCTTTCATACCAATTGGAACATAATACATTAATAAAATAACCACACCATCACTTATGCACAAAAAATTCATATAACTAAATTTATTAAGTTCTCAAACCACAATGGAAAATCTCATGTAAGACCGAACCTCCTGTGAACATTGGAGACCGAATGGTCAATACTAGGTACAACTAAAGAGAGGGCCGAGCACTATTAATGACCGACAACTAGAGAATTCCAAGTACCACTAGGTCAAGTACTAAGTCAGACCGAACGCTTATGGCTTAGGCCGAACACCTATAGCTTAGGCCGAACACCTATAGCTTAGGCCGAACACTTAGAGTTGATATCGAATACTAATATAAGACCGATTACTAAAATATCACAGAATGGTCATTAACAGGTAAGGCTCATCAAAGACCGAACATAGTTAAGACTGAATACTATTACAAGACCGAATAATGGTGCAAGATTGAATACTATTGTAAGACCAAGGACTAAGGTTAGACCGAACCCTATAACAAGACCGAGCACTACTAAGAGATCGAGTGCTAGTGCAAGACCGAGCACTACTAAGAGACCGATTGCTAGTACAAGACCGAACACTACTAAGAGACCGAGTGTTAGTACAAGAACGAGCACTACTAAGAGACCGAGTGCTAGTACAAGACTGAACACTACTAAGAGACCAAGTGCTAGTACAAGACCGAGCACTACTAAAAGCAACCACCTACCTAAGACCGAACGGTCATGAACGTGTAAGACTAAAGAGACTGAACCCAGTTAATGACCAAGTACCTGAACATGACCGAGCGGTCAACAGCGAACGCTCAGCTTTCTGCATAATTCTGCAGAACTTTTGCAGAATTATGAATAAGCTAGATTTTACCAAAACTAAACATTTTTCCCAACTTCTAATCCTCCAAACATGAATCATACATATCTTTACATTTAACTAAGGTACCTAAACCTTTCTAACATCATTTAGAAAGTTTCATCTCAGATTTGAGATTCAATTCTACAGAATCATGAACTCAAGGACCGAAAACCAGATTTCTCTGTTTTAGTACAGTTTTGAGTGACTTAAGGATCTCAATGAGTCCTAAATAACTTGCCCAGATTCTCTATAGAGACCAAACTCACACCGAACACAATTTCCCTAATTTCACCATCACACTTCCTCACAAATCACTCGGCCGTTGAACCAAAATTTTGCAAAAACCCAACCCTCATGAACATAGCATCTAACAGTCCACACAAGCATCACCGAACATCAAATCATTCAATTTCACACACATGCAAAATCATCAACAACATTTTCATACATCATCAACTAAACAATTAAATTAACTAGCTTCCCTTAGCTCAAAGCAACTTGATAGATTTAAACCTCTCCACAGTTTTGCTAAACCGTAAGTGATCCTAGGATAGCCTACAGACTTTGGATTGGTGAAAGGAAACCAACCAACAAACCAGAAACAGAATCAAAACTCAGATGAACACATGTAAAACCGAACAATGCTTGCATGTACCAAAAATTGCAAAAATTTAAAGAATCAGAGAGACAAACTTACCGGCTCTAAACACGAAATTGATCGATGGAAAAGAAAGCCCTTGATCTCAGGATCGCCTAGGAAGGTTCTAATGACTGATCAAATGAACCAATAGTGAGTAATTTTAAAGAAGGAGGAGAAAATGTAGAAGATAGTATTTTTAGAGATAGAACGTACTGATATAATGAATTGAATGTTTTAAAACTTCTATTTATACTGTTAGCTTATTTTAACACTAAGTGTTCAATATCATTATTTTAATATATCTATCTACTCTTAATACTCTATTTTCTAGGTCCACGGGGACTTCAAGTTGTTTTGATGACAATAACAACTGTATCTGGGAAAATAATATACGCCCTTTCTTTCTTGTCTAGTTTTTTTTATGGCAATAAAAATTGTCCCAAACTAATAGACACCCTAGTTTTTCTAGTTTTTCTAGTTTTTTAAGTTTTTTTTTTCTTGAAAAAATTGTATTATTCATTATTTTAACACGTACTTTCGTTACAAAAATGATATTAATATTAGAAGTGTCATTGTCTCAATTAAAATATATATATATATATATATATATATATATAT